ACCTGTTATCATTTGCTGCCATTATTCTACCTAATGGTTTTCTAAATAATGCAAAGTTGCAATAAAGTTTAACGTGTAAAAATATAGAATATAATACGTTTGAGGTGTTTATTACATACACATAATAAACATTAATTTTGGTGTAATTAAGTTTAACTTCAAAACTGAGTATTTAAGTAAAGCCGTACTTACTCAATTATTTTATAGGATAAAATAGTATAAAATCTCTGTCATATATCTCCTAAAAGCTAAGGACTTTCTCTATTTTTTTTTTAAATATCATGTGATTTTTTGTATTTTAAATCGCAAGTAATTTATGTATACCACCATTGTTTTAAAATGCAATATAAACCTTAAAGCTAATAATTTGAAGTCAATTTAAAATCTTTAATTAATCGTTAATTATTCTTATAAACTAAACAAGTAGTCACTCGACAATATAACAAGCGTTATAAAGGAACAGTTTAATAATAACCGTTTTTATAAACGAATGCAGTAAATCCTTTAATTAAATGCAAAAATAACTGTTAGTTTTAAATTCCGAGGCGGTCGGCCATGTTGCGCAAAGGGCGCGCAGTGCACCGCAATTTGTCAGTCGAGGGCGTTCCGAACACCGTAATTGGTGGTCAAAGACCGATAAAAAAGGGCTTTGTTTATTCGAAGCTTACGACGAGTACGCCCATGTCATTTATTTACCTGTTCCTAATAATAACTACTGAGTACACTTTGTATATTATATTTTTAATGATACACGCAAATATTAAACTCGTCAACCACTAATAATAATATAACCATACACGAACAAAAATTATTTTTAAACCCATTATATCACCATTAAATAAAATTCCCCATAAATAGAAAACTTCAACGTTTACCATTCTCCATTTCATTAATTATGTTCATAGTAAACAAACTAATGATCGATGTATACATATACCTAAATACCAAAAAAGCAGATGTTTTTGCCAATCATACATTCAAGTCTTTTATAAGTCGCCACCTGTAATTACAACATATTGCAAATACAAGGCATCTGCGATTTTATTATAAGTTTACATTCAGCCCATACATTTTTAGAATTAATGACCTCACTGCCTAATGATTATTTGATTTTCATATCAATATCGATTAAACATTTAAAACGCACTAAAAGTAACAAGACCGTTCCCTCGTTACCATCTATATTATGGTTTTAAAAAAAACATTGACATTTCGTTTGGTGACGATAAATGGGGAAATACCTACTAACTGTTGCATTCATTAATTAGAAATTCAAATGAATGTCACACCGACACGAATCTTATCTGATAAAATGATAAAAGTAGCATGTACTTTGTCTCTTTTTGGATATTTACATATTTTGTACTCTTCTTATTTTTGAAATAAATTATATATCTTTTTAAAATAAGAAGGCGTCTGTGTTACTTTTAATAAAATGTCATCCTTTATTGGTCCTACAAAGTCATTACCTTTCAATCAGTCTTCTAGTAAACAAGCGCTGATATGCAAGCTCGATTAAACTGCGCAAGCTTTTTTAGCACAGATAAAAAGTATACTTAACTTTTTTAAATTAGGCATGCACTGGCTATCTTCCGACGACATCTAAGCTGGGCCGGGTAGCAGTAAATTACGGCAAACTGGAGCGTTGCAGCATTGTATGCAGATGCCGCCCGACGCATCTCCTCATGATTTGCATCAACTTTCGGCCCGGAAATTTGCAACCTACTTAATTATGTTGAACACTGTTAGTGTATATATACTACAATAATATTTTATAGCTATACTTTAAATGGCATTATTGAAGTTATTGAGGCATATTTACTAAAAGTTATTGTTTATTTATACATTTTTTTTATTGTAATTATTGTTTGTTGATATTTATAGGATAAGAGATGTATATCATATAAGGCATGTTTATCGAGGACAGGTGGCACAACCTAACTTCACTGCGCCTGGTATGATATTCAATAATAGAAACAATAGCCGATCGGAAGCACCCATTGTTCAAACTACAATGGCGCGTCTCATTACTCAACTGCTCGTTAACGTCCCGACCGCCGCAAAATACTAACTTTATCAGTCCCTCACGTCAAATATCTTCCCATCTCGAAACTATATCTCCTGCGGACACAATCGAGTTAAAATAAAACCAACGCATCGGACATGACTCCGAACGTTCCCCAGAAGCCAGATGCGTATCGGCAAGCCAAAAAGCAAAATCCGAATGATATGATGTTTCGGCGTTCCTTTTTCGAAATGCCCGCAAATTGTCAACCGTGGCATAGACAACGGGTGCATTTGAATACGGCCCAATTTGAATATAAAGGTCGGCGATCGCGTGTCGCCGCCATACATCAAGCGAGAGAGCTTTAAGTCATTCGAGCGCTTTTTGGACACAAATAAGCGTCTGATGTTCGACAGGACGCGCATAATACAGATTTAACTCGGGCGACCCTCGATAGCGCTTCTACACTATTTATGGGAACGCTGATTAAAGCCCGTTTATTTTAGCGGTCATTTCGCAATGGGGTGCTAATGCTTTAACTGCCCTGGCTTCGTCTCAGTCTCGTGCCGACGTATATGTAAATGACGACGTGGAGTGGCGCATTAAGATAATCATTTAAAATATTTATAGAGTGTAAACGTCGATATTAAGGCGGTGAGACACCCACGACAGAGAGTCCGTATCGCCCAATGCCATATTTCATTTGGCCACAATTACAACCATTAAAGGGGGCGCAACTCTTTGATATTTCTACCTTTATTTATTGTAGCAAACTTATTAGGATACTATGGCATTAATGATGACAGATGAGATACCGTATCTCGGCTTAATGCGTTTTGTGTCGGGGCTCTGAATCGATCAGTTAGTTGCTATGGGAAAAGAAACATTTAGGTAAATTATGTTCTTATGAGAATAGAGAATTATACATATACTTAATAATTGCATTAGAAATGACAACGAAATTTTGCAAGTTAAAATGCAATTTTCCTTACTCATTAATTTCTTGTAACTTTTGGCTTATTTTAAAGTTTTTTTATTCGTAATACATCTAAATATACCAGGCAAATTATTTCAATTCATTTCTGAAATCAATATAAGGATTTAAAAATAAAATCCATAATATATTCATTATCTAAAAAAAAAGTGGTAGTCATAGACAAATTAGCGCAGATCAAATCTCCCTTTTTTGAATAGAATGCGACTAACATGGCGGATACGTTGTTTTTACCGCGTTTTAATTTAATTTTGAATTCCAAATGCCCGATGCGCCCCGCCGCGTTACAAATGGCGTCGATACATCATGCGATGATATCTCTTTCAATTTCTGAAAGAAGCCCGCCACGGCCAGCGAATTAATAATGGATAAAATTACTCAAAAGGTGAACTATGTGAGGGTATTCAAATTAGATATTGTGTAAGATATTCTCTAAAAGCGTTACAGAGTTATTATTCTTAATTAGTACATTTTTAGGAAGATTTTCTTAATACTATGTTATAAAACTAAAATACATTTTATACTTTAATAGCTTAAGATAATAAATAAAACTATCTATGTAAATAAAACTAACTCTCTATGGTCACGGCAGAGACCTCCCCCGTGACCATGATTGCTGTAAAGCATTTGAAACGTCGGGAACCAAAAATCAAAATAAATCCGCGAAAGAATCCGAAAATAATAATTTCATAAATATATAAAATACGCTAAGATGTATGTCCGCCACATCGATACTAATCAATTATTTTCGATATCTTGATTTATTCACGTAAGTATACTTCAGATACCTTGTAAGCCAATAAGGTTAGGTACTCCGACATCAACGATACAAACCCAAACAAACATATTTTTTGTCGCAGCCAAAAAAAAAACTAAATTTAGCAGAAAATGAGATATCGTGTAAGACTACAGATGCTGCATGGATTTCAACAGTTTTTATTGTTATTATTATTTTACTTTGCATGCCATAATTATTACTATCTTGGCATCTATACATGATTGGAATATTAGTATTCGATAGAGTCTGTGATTTGAATTAACTAACTACATATTAACTAGTAACAGATTTTATTCACATCCCTTGTTTTCATATTTTCGACATATTATTATCCTTGCTAATTCTAGAATAATGACATTTATTTACATACATCCTACTCTTGAAAAGTTTAAAACTATATTTAATACTGCATTTAATGTAATAGGTTAGATTATATAAAAATAATGCACACATCCTTTACACTTGAAACGTTATGTACCTCCTATAAGAATTCTAGAGCAATAACATTTTTATAGGCAAAATACAAGGAGCTATTAACATTATTACAAATTAAAAGTTAATTAATCAAGAACTACTTGCTCAAGTATAATTTTATTTCTATAATGTTTTTAGTTTAATATACTTATTCATTAGAACTATAAACAGCAGGGATATTTTTTACCTTTTTAATGCATTCTCTGTTTTACCGATTTCGATTTTGAAATAACATAATACTGCATACATATATTAATTATTAATACTAAATAATAGTAAAAACTATGCTAATACTAATGCTAAAAAAATAACTTTCTTTGAGTAAACTTTAATTAAAGTTCATTGATAAAGTTCCTTCCATGCATGTCTTATTTATGCGTGGGTAAATACTAACAAATTTATACTACTACTAAAGGTTTTTCATTTGGTGTCATCAAAGGTTTGTCATTACATCAAAATATCCAATACATTCTATTATTTAGTGACATGTAAGTATTTTTTCCTTAAACGATGAACAAAATAGTTATTTTTGTGTTCAAAGTTTCACCAAATACAAAGTTACGTGAGCTGTCTGTACATTTTATGGCTTTAATATTTTCAGTTCTTAAACTCATGTGAAACGTCACATAGACATTAATGTCACATTCAATTTGACAGGTGCTGTCACAACAATTTGAACAAGAAGTGATACGAATTGCAATTCGAATTTTAATGCTCCCCACCACGAGAACTTGTCATCTGCTTTCACCATGGTAAAGTGTTATAGCGTCTTCATAGAGCGATGAGTTAACAAGCTCTGCGGGTTTAACATAACTGCTTATTGACAGGGTACAGCTATGTTTGCAAGAGTCACATTCTATCCTACACTCTTATACAATGTGCTGATGGAGAAGGTGAGCACCAGGCGCTGGTATGATAGGATGGATGACAACGTGATCCTTGGGGCCTTGCCTTTCCAAGGAATGACCAGACAGGTACAATTTTATTGGTTATAAAATTTTAAACTTGGTTATTTCGTGATCGATCTATAAAATTTCTTATAAAATAATTTTACTTTATGTTTTTTAGTTCACACATAACTAGACTTATAAAGTTTAAACAGTCCTTTAATATACTTTAAAATTTAAAACCAATAACTTCATTTTAGTTTGTGTTCAGTTGCCTTTAGTTAACTAAATGTAATTACATACTATTAAGTTATTATAAGTTGTTTTGTGTTTTGTAAATCTGCAAATTGCGTCAAATATATTTTCTATCAAGTTTAAGGTATTTTTGTTATTATTTTATGTTATAATTTCAGTTAATTGAAGAGGAAAATATAAAAGGAGTGGTGTCTATGAATGAAACATATGAGCTAAAAATATTTTCAAATGATTCAGAGGTATGTTCACTTTAATAATTAATATAAAATCAATTAAGAGACTAAACCAGTATCTAGTGATTCTATTTTCGAGAAATTATTCTTATGATTGACAAAGATGGGTATATTGTTTAAATATATCTAATCTACATTATACTTAAGTCATACATGCTTCATAGTTCTGCTGAAAAAAAGAAAAGTATTACTAATCTATACTAATATTATAAAGAGGTAAAGTTTGTGAGTTTGTGACGTTGTAGGGGGTAATCTCTGGATCTACTGAACCAATTTAGATGAAATTTGGTAAGGAGATAGTTTGAGACCCTGGGAAGGACATAGGATACTTTCTATCCTGGAAATCATCCCTTAAGGTGGTGAAAATGGAGATGAAAGTTTGTATGGGGAAACAACATAGGGACGAACCAGAGCGAAGCGAGGGTGAGTCAATAAACATACAATACAATAATGGGTATACAATATTGTAATATATAAATTATTATATAAAAGTTTATTGGATTATCACATCAAAGTCTGACTGTGTGTAGTTAATAATATTATTATTTGACAACACATTTGGCTCTGTTTGTAAAGACCCTACTTGATGTGCCATCGGTCGGGGGTTCTAGTCCTGCTGGGGGCATTCATTTGTGTGATGAGCACGAATGTTTGTACTCCAGTCATGGGTGTTTATATTTATAATATGTATGTATTTAAAGTTATATATGTGTAGTATATCAACTATCTGGTATCCATAACACAAGCTTCGTAGCTTACCATGAAACTAGATAGTGTTGTGTGTTAATGTCCCAATATATTTATTTATTTAATTATCAATAATAATAAGGGCTAAACAGAAAAAAAAATATTAAAAAAAAAATAAGAAAAATATGATGGTATTTAGGTATGTTACCCTACTTAATGGTACTAAGCGGAGAACTCTAAATTCACTTTAAAGGGAACTACAATGTACTGACTGACTGATGAAACTGGTCGACGTAGCTAGGGCCGACCGCAGCACCACACCCAACAAAATATAATAATAATGGCTTTAACCATTTAAAAGTTTGTGTAGACAATATTGAATGTTTAAAATAAATATTTCAAGTGGCTTACTTATGTTTGTATATTTTATCACTACTTTCAATGCCATCACTTAAAACTCACCTCCAAACTAAAGAGCATCAGTACATCTTTAACAATATTCTAATCATAATATTATCTTCGTCTATGCCCCTTTGTTATTAAAATTTATTATTATTAGTTACATTGTAGGTTTTATCGTACATTTACAGTTATCTAATCTGGTTATCTTTTTCTTTATAAAGTATAACTATATTTCGCGGCTTTGCTCGCGCTAAAACTATAAAAAAAACTTAAAAGATAGCTTTCATTCAAACTTTCCTCCCTTCTTTTACACTGTTATGGAATAAATTTCGAAAAATGCTAAAACAATTATTTATTTCATTGCATTGAAGAGCATTCATACCAAGTTTCAAGTAATTTAGATCATAAATAATATTTTGGGTTGTATAATTGTGTTATAACGTGTTTTCCCGTGGGAATGAGATAATCTCCCGTGATAAAAAGTAACCTACGTCACTCTCCAGTCCTCCAACTATCTCCACACAAAAAATCACGCCAATCCTTCACTCTGTTTTGACGTGAAAGAAGGACAAACAAACGCACTCACATATATATACTATAAGTATGGATTTATAAATAAGTCAGCAACATAAAATACTTCATATATCAAACTCCATGGACAATAGATTTTATCTGCAATTTTAATATATGTAATTGAGACTTTTTATTTTTTTTTTCGTAAAACAGAAATGGCGCGACCATGGAGTGGAATTTTTGCAGTTAGCAACAACAGACATTTTTGAAGCGCCAGATCAAGACAAATTGTATGAAGGTGTGCGTTTTATCAATCGGTGAGTTTTTATTAAGTTTAAAAAAAACGTGTGTGTGTACTTATTTATGTACGCACGTAAGAAGTTATACTTCTTTAGCGTAACAGAACAAAAATAGCTAAAAATTTCATACCAATTCGTTGGCGTACTATTACAAGGTTCTATATTAATTTTAATGAAGTTTAGTTATTTTTACATAGAACTTCGTTATTTTGTTATCGTAAAAAAACAACATAGAACTATGTAAAATTGAATATTTTGTAGTTATAGTGCCGCTATCTAGTGGTTTGTTTTTGCAAAACTGTAGCTAATGACACATAGAACCTTGTAGCATTAATAAATAAATAAGTACTAAAATTGTAACATAGTACCTTGTAATAGTGAGCCAACGAATTGTGTCACAACTGTCTGCTTGTAAAAGGAACGCAGCTAACTTCATCATGTCGCTTTTTGGCTGTCGGTGTGCGCGCGCATCGTAAAAATTGTACTCTCATATTTTTTTCCAAACGTCCCAAAAGAAGTATAACTTCAAAAATAAGTATTTTTTTCAGGAGAGTACAAGCAAGGCCATAATATAAATACTTCACTATACAATTCCGCAGTTAGCTATTATAATTGCATGGCTATTTTTTTTTTGCTAATAAACAATATTGTATTGTCAATTGTAGACATTTTTTTATCAAAGGATTAATTTATTACTATCATAGCGATAGTAAATTTTCTTTATACGCACGATACTCGTGTTATATAAATTCAACGTTATATTTTTCTGCAACCTGCCATTGAAATTGCATCTCCCTCAAAAAATAAGCGTTTCTTCTACTATAATATATATGTATATTAATGTATTCATATATTTAACTTTTATTTATGTGTCATACTTATATACTTTACTATAACAAAAATCTGCACTTTCTCTTTCTGTCCCGCTATTTAACACTATTTCCCACATGCATGGGTTGACTGGAAGAGATCTCATATAGAGATAAGTCCACCTTTGTCCACGTCACTTTCTATGTATTTTGTTTTTTATAATTTATTCGTGCAATAAAGAATATATAATAATGTATATACCTGTTGTACTCATGGTATATTTAAGGGGGCACCGAGGCAATTACGAAATATTTGCGTTCGTTTGATCCCTTGCTATATTGTTATGACTAAAACTTTAATTATGTAATTAAAATGTAGGATATTTTAGAAACAACTTTAGAAACACGATTACTTGTAGTTTCCTCGATAGAAAAAAAAATGTAAAATCTATACATATAATAACATTGTAACTAAGTCGAATCTGTACATTAAATATTTTTTGGAAAATGTAATTGAAAATTTTATTATCGATACAGAGTCGGAATCTATAGTTTTTAGAATTTTTGTCTGTTTATCTGTCTGTTACCGCATCACGATAAAACCACTGGACAGATTTTGATGAAATTTGGTATGATTTTTTTTTATCTCTATTTTTATTTAGGGACTTTTATCCTTTTCGGATATGTCAGTCCCATCATATCTTAACCTATACTCGGCGCGGCGAACCTTGATCCCTATGACAGTTCGTGTTAGTGATGGGTCGTGTCTTTGGTCGTGTCGATAATTTGCTCATGTGGCGCTTGCCCATACAAATCACAATAAAAAAAATTTCGCTTTCAGCGCTGAGTACTTTCACTGTAAACTATATAAGTAACACATGCAAACCCTAAAGTATTATCACTTACTTTTGTTACACCCTTGACCCTGTGTATGTAAATAAATAATTATTAAACAGATTTTGTTTCATTTCATTTTGTCCTATAGCTGTTATTTTTTAATTTTCTTGGGTATAATATAATCATGTATGTATGAATGGTATGATCGTAATATTCTGTTCCATTCCATAATATATGAACTAAAATGTATGAAAAAAATGTGCATTCGTTTCCATTACCGACATTTTTTTATCGATTCTTGCCGCCCTAGTCGATAAACGTCACACGACGTAAGTTTTGCAGGACGTAAACATAAATTCAGATTGAGATAACTTCTTGTAAATGTTAAGAATTGTTAAAAATATCAACGGAATATCATTACTAATGGTATAAAGCAATATCATATCTATTAATATTAAGTTTTTGCATTATTGATTCCCTCTCCCTTTGATGTTTAACACATTCTACAAGGATGTGTTGAACATCGTCTATCATGTTACAACTACTACATAAGGGTGAATTTACCTTTTTCATAAGGTACGCAAATTTATTTGACGGATAATGTCCAGAACGCAAATTTGGTATGATGATAGCTGGTTATCCGTGTCAACATATAGGATACTTTTTACCGCGGGAAAATATCTCATTTCTGAGAAAAAATACAAAAATTGTAATGTAAGAGTATACTAATATGTACTCGTAAAACCTAAGAATTTGGTTTTTGGTCCTCTGAACGCGGACGGAGCCGCGGGCAATGCTAGTGATCTCTAAAAAACGAAATAAACCCTTAGTGCGGCGTAAATAATTCAAGGAAGTACATCAGGTTTTTGATAATAACAAAACTATACATTTTCTATAACTTATACATTTTACATTTTCAAAATGTGTGTTCGTTTTAATAATACGAACGAAATACGTAAATTCGCACGCGTTCCGTCCACCCTAGCCACGAACCAACTAGCTACGGAGACGGACGAAAAGTAATGAAAAATATTTTCTTTTCAGGTTTTTGCCATTAGAAAACAAGTTGCCAAACATAAAAGATGAGAAGCCGGTGAACAACGGCACGGTGTACGTACACTGTAAAGCGGGGCGCACGCGCAGCGCTACATTGGTGGGGTGCTACCTAATGATGGTGAGACGTTTCATCTTTCAAATTAATTTATATATAATTTATATATAGGCTTTATTCCCCCAATTTCATATTACAGGTTCGATAATATATTGGTCATCTGCTGAGTAAATAAAATTGAAACGCTGTTCACTTGTAAGCACTAAGCGCATTTCTTGAAAACGGATTGACCGATTTGGGATTATTTTATACATATACATAGCCCGAAGTAGGTTTTTAGGCAACAAAATGTAATAATATGGAAATTTGAGATATTGAAAATGCTTTTTATTTAGGAGTTTTTTTATAAACTCAAAGATAACCAGTAACTTTAAATGAAAAAATGACAGAACAACGTCTGTTATATTAGCTTATAGGTACAAGATAAATATCAAATTATCTAACACAACTTCCTAGGAAAAAAAACACTAAGTTTAATATTCCACCCACTTGCTTATAAATGTCATATTAATTGGAAGCAAGTTGCTTTCCTAAAATCTTCTATAAATATCGTTAACATCGTGGAAAATTTTTAGCCAAAAATTAAGCTTTGCCATTTATAAAACATCAGATGTTTTTTTTAAACGTAATGTAAAACAAAATATTAAAATTAATACAAATGTAAGTGGGTCTGTTATTGTAAAATATTCATAATTTATTGTTAGGCTTGAGATCAACAACGTAAAAAAAATTACTAAGCTTTGAAACTCGCACCGAGTTCTGTAACAATTCTTGTTTACATTTGTTCATTGTAAACCTTTTTTTTAAATAAAACTATTTTTTCGTATTTTTTGCGGATTTATTTGATTTTTGGTTCCCGACGTTTCGAATGCTTTACAACAATCATGGTCATGGAAGAGACAATACCAACTCACAAAATTATATAATATGTAAAAAAAATACAAAAGTGGCAGCAAAGTACCTTATGATATTTGTTCATTTTAATTTAAGCACAATTTATAATTTCAATAAGTTTTATAATTGTATATTAAATATAAACATTTTCTTCACAGAGAAATGGCTGGTCACCGCAAGAAGCAGTAGAATATATGAAATCAAGACGACCCCACATATTGTTACATACGAAACAGTGGCAGGCCCTCGATATATTCTATAAGCAACACGTACAGACGTAACAAGCAATGCAATATGTATATAGTTAAATCTTATGTTAGCAGAAAAATTAACATTATATATGTCGGTCCAAACTGTTATAAAAATAATGCACAACGTCATCCATAAATGTTTAGCTTTTTTTTAAGTAAAACTTGTTTAGACGTGACTGAGGGATAATGTCAATTCATTGGGAAAAAAGAGTGTCGCGAAGTGAGTCAAATTTTGTTTTAATTAATTAAAAAATATAGGTATATATTTATATTTTAATATTTAGAAATATTTATTTTATAATTATTATTTATAGAAATATGTTTATTATTAATATTTTTATAAAAAAACATATTATACTTATATATATTTTGATTTGTTTAAATTTAATTGCGGTATATGCCACAGCACCAAAGAAGTTTTACTTCAATCGCGCGTAAAGATTACACGCTCTCTTTTTTTTAAATAAATGTTAATAGCCTAAATTCGAATTTAGGGGAGGGCAATTGGGACACATCACCTAAAATGTTTATTTTTTAAACCTAGAAATTGTAGATGTCGTTATATACGCAATTTTTTAAATTTAACTAACTATAAAACAAATTTGTATGATCAACTTTGTTTTCAAAATTTAAGGTCAGCTAACAAAAAACTACTAATTCAATATTTTTAATGCATAGAGCATTAAAATTTAAAGATGGATGTCCTAAAAGGTAATTTTAATAAAAAAATCGATTGATTTCGTCCGAATCAATCGAGTAGGTTATCACAATTCAGGTTTCTAAGAGGTGATTACAGCAATGTACACAACTTAATAAAAAATTATTACATAAAACTAAAAACATCTAACTAACCAGAACTAAAAAGCTGTAAATAAAAAAAATGCAAACGTAATAAAACCAGACTGCGTAAAAAGCGAACTAAAAATATGAGAACAAGTTGAGAAAGGAACATAGTAATACACAGCCATACGCATGTATAATGTACATACATACACATAGCATTCTCGTCTTTTCAGTTCGCTTTTTATGCAGTCGGTTTTTTATTTTTGTAATATTTTTTTTACTAAGTATTACCTAATTTACTACTTATGTTATTTATGGTTGTATGACATACTATATGTCTGTAAATAAATTAAATTATAGCACAGAAGAATATAATTTTATACGTAATTGTTACAATTATATTATGTTAAATAAAAAAAAATTGCTCTGGGAAACAATTTTTTATTTCACTTAACCTTGAAAGTTTTGGTATCCTTTAAATAAATAATAACACTCGCGCATTTGTTATTCAATTCTATTTTCTTGCTAATAAACATATTTATTGTTATTCCTTCTTTAACAAAACACATGAAGTTTATATATTGAATAACTAACACTGGTTCGTAGCTAGGTTTATGGTGACATTAAGGAAGAGACTATATGTATATTATATGATTATACTCATACCTATTATGATGAGTTGTAGTGGGTTGTATTATAACGTGTTATCCCGTGGAAATGAGTTAATCTCCCGCGGTAAAAAGTAGCCTATTTCACTTTTCAGCCCTCGAATTATCTCCACACAAAAAATCACTCCAATCCGTCACCCTGTTTCGACGTGAAAGAAGTACAAGCAAACAAACAAACGCACTTTCATATTTTATTATATTTTCTAATAGGGTGATAGGAAACGTGGAAGAACTAAGGAAGAAAGTGGGTGATGGGAAAAGCATAATTGATTATTGTGACTACTGAGCCCATAACACTTAAAATTAAATCGAAATTAATAAAAAATAATTAAAAACAATATTATTAGGTTATGTAAATATAAAATCTTACTGAATAATAAATATAATGATGTCATTTTATTACACAAAACATGTAAACAGCGTTATATTTAGTAAAAAATACAATTTATTCATATTTATACGCAAACTATTTTTATACTAGTGTATAGTTCATCTTCTCACAAATGCAAAGTGAAGCCCAAAGGAGGGTTATGTGTCTGACCTGTATGTACAGCGCTGGATTTACACTAGGCCTAGGGGCACTCCAGGCCCAAGGCGGTAAACTTTTAGGGCCGGCAAAGTTCGGATGGCGGAAAAATATTCTTAGAGTTATCGAAAATGCTTAACTAAATAAAGATTAGCTAGTGGGTACATTTTACGAAAAATTGATATCATTTATAAATTATTTTTTTGCATTTTTCAAAATATTAATAATTAAATTTTTTTAATCTTTATCAAAACTTTACCCGTTTTATGCAAAATTTCGATAAAAGGGCGGCATTTCTTACTATGCCCAGGGGCGGCGCTTGACCGATCCTACGTTCTTCGTCTTGATAACGTGAGTGGTATACTATACAGCTTTATGGATATTATTAGAAATCAAAATGGCGCTCAGAATCTACTACTTTAAAAAAAAATCGATGTATTAAGTACATGAGAATTCCGTATTTAAGAACTTAACGATATTTTTAAACAACTTATGTGATTAGTAGCTAAAATGTTGTAATAAAACATTAACTTGTTGGTATTTATGTATATTTACTTGTATATAATATTAACATTTTGTTCAGAATATTACTGCAACACATAATATTCATCAAAATAAAAAAATGAAACATTCAAAACAGTACCAAGAAGTTGTTCTTGAAACAACTCTACAGATAAACATGTAAAAGTCTGTGTAAAATAAACAAAGAAATCACTATTAAAAAATTTATTTCATTCAATAAAATAATTTACAAACTTTCTATTTCAGTGTACATTTTAAATAAACTATATTTGGACAGAAAATAAAATTTAGTTTATTTGAAAAAAAAAGACAGTGAAGTAACACAAACATACAGTATATCATCCTTATGTACATAAAAACGTAACTTCTGAAAATTTTAAACTTATTTATTATGAAATAAAGCTTTTGTTTATAATCATAACAATAATTGTGCTTAGCATTAAGTACCACATAGGACTAAAAATTTTGAAACAACACTCTTCCTTTTCCAAAGGAATAAATCAATAAAAACATTGAAACTTATTACAGCCATTTTTATTGTTAAATAAACATTAACGCTGATTCAAAATCAAGGAAGGAAATCTCAGAATTATCTATATAACATCATTTGCTTACTATTCTAATTAATACAGTAAAATAATTTAACAAATGAACCAGTGAACAAGAGATACATCACAACATATTGCCATAAATAGAACATTAACAAGAATCTTATGCCTTTTGTCCGGCTTTTATGGACCAGAATTGTTTGATAGAATTAGCTACTCCGATATCATGGGTAATAACGTAGAAAAGGCCACCAAGAGTTGCAATAGAGATGAGGTATACAAGACCAATGGCAAGTTTAGGGATGACAGGTCCAAAAATGCTTGCTCGGACATAGTCTACTGCAATCGCTTCTAATCCCCTGTAAGTAAATTTTTTTAATCTGTAAGCATAGTTTATTAAAAAAAAATATTATGATCATACTTTTGTCTCCTTTATAAAAACATTGACATAAAGAATTACAGAATAATTTAAGTATGGCAATTTTATTAAAAAAATTAATATGCTGTATTTTGGCAAAGAAGAGGTAAGAGTCAAAACTCAAAAATAATTTTACTGTGTTCTATGTATTTAGAAATATCATGTTTCACAGTCATAATTTAACAACTTATTAAATTGACTTACCAGAAACTATGGGCTACCACTAGTACAGCAAGAACAGAGTCAAAGACCTTATTGGGTGCAATTAAAGCCAAAGGTATCATGGGCACTAATAATACACTGGTTATTCTCTCCACTACCCACAGCTTAGAGTGATCATGGGCCTTTTCACTTGATAGTCGTACTAGAGATGTACGGAATGAACGGACCTGTAATTTTTTTATAGAAAGTTATAGATAACAACACAAAGCTAGTAAATGGGATGTAATTTATCATAATTTTGTAATTATTTACTAAGATTAGAGATTATTGGGTCATTAAAAATCAATTAACTTACCGAGTTCAAAATTGGAGTAGCTTCGGTCTTTAGCATTGTGTTTGCATTAGATAAAGTGCGTTGAGCTAATACAGGCTTTAGGACTGGTTGTGTTCCTAATTTTGTTAACTGCTGTGAAAGCAATCGGCTTGTAAAACCTGAAAAATGTATTATATGACATTAATTTTAAAGAGTTCAAAGATTTTTTTATTTATCTTACTGTTAAAATAAAAGTTTATACTATATTAAATTCTCTAATATTTATTTTTAATTCTCATTTATAACCTAGTAAGAATTAAATAGTAGAATTAATACATTTTATTATTATTTGTATTAGTAATCAAAAAATCATTAACGTAGATAATGTGTGTAACGACCTCTCACTAGCTGTATTTCTTTTAAGAATTCTATCTTTTAACTTAACAACAACAAGACGTATTATGTAATTATATCACTTTAAAATAAAGATAAAGATTATTTACCTGGTGTGCGTAGGAACATAGAAAAGGCCATTATGAGAAGAGAAATGCAACACTTTAACACTTAAAGTTTAAATTATAAATCAAAGACCTTCCGAACAAAATTATAAGTTTTCGAAATTCGTGTGATGAAAACACGACACAATCTGTCAAATGTCAATTGAATCAATTCCCCAATCCACAGATTAAAGAGATGATAGACCCTGTTTTCCAATATGGAAGAATTTTGCCTTTTTCTCCCGCCAAATGTCGCGATCACTATGGCCCTCAGTATATTGAAAACCTCTATTGCATGAATGGATTTTTTTTTCATTTTATTTAAAATTTAATTAAAATAACAAATTTAGCAGTGCTAGGATGCAACGAAAATGGATAACATGCGTTCCCAAATCACAAAAACTAAAGAAATTGTAGGCTAAAGCAATAAGACGACCAAAGTTAGCGAAAACACAATCTTTATATTTAAGGTGACAGAAAGTGGTTTTAAAACTCTTAAAGTTTACAAGTGAACATTTTTTTTATTTTTTGTACTTTTTCACACGTTAACTACAAACTTTCATCCCCCATTTTGCCCTCTTATATAATAGAATTTTAGAAATGCTAAAAAGTTACAAATACTAATTCTGATCACAAATAATTTAAGTGATGAATTTTGAAAAAATCAAATAAATATATTTCTTATTTTTTATCTTAAAGCTAAACACCACTTTCTGTGTATTTCACATTAAGAATGGCAGAATATCATACAATCTTTAATCCCCTATTTTATCCACTTAGGGGATGAATTTAAAAAAATCTTTCTTAATAGACGTCTACATCATTGGAATACTTATTTCAAATTTCACGTTTCTACAACCAGCGGTTAAGACTTTGTGTTGATCTATCAGTCAGTCAGGACCACCGCAGGAAGCACCTCTCCTTCTTAATTCTTCTTTCAGCTTGTCTAACTTCCAGGTATAATACATTAGATGCTAACATAATAGAAACAAAAAACCATGTGTAAAAGAGAGGTCACAATAATTTGCATAACATCAGACAGAATGTAAATAGGCTATAGGTGTGGCGCCCTCCTTTTGAAAAATCTTCCCAATGCTACAATATTAACATTATTGTTTACCCCACGGCCCACAAAATTAATATTTTTTACCTGTGTTAACGTTTCATACAATGACAATTCATTTTGGTTGATGTGATTGTGATTTTATAGATTTGTTGGTTCTGTTATTAAGTATTTAAACAAATTAAGCTTTACATAAACAGCTAAAATGGCTACAACTCTTGAAGATAAGTCTATTTGGGAAGATGGCGAAGAAGCACTTAGCGAAGAAGTTCTGCGTATGCCAACTGATGAGATTATCAGCCGGACTCGACTTCTTGACAATGAAATTAAAATTATGAAGAGTGAAGTTATGAGAATCTCCCATGAGCTTCAAGCACAAAACGATAAAATCAAGGAAAACACTGAGAAAATAAAAGTCAATAAAACTTTACCATACCTTGTGTCAAATGTTATCGAGTTGCTAGATGTAGATCCTCAAGAAGAAGAAGAAGACGGCGCCGTAGTTGACTTAGATTCTCAAAGAAAGGGAAAATGCGCTGTCATTAAAACTTCTACCCGACAGACATATTTTTTACCAGTTATTGGATTGGTAGATGCTGAAAAATTAAAGCCTGGTGATCTGGTTGGTGTCAATAAGGATTCATATTTAATTTTGGAGACATTACCTGCTGAGTATGATGCTAGGGTCAAGGCTATGGAAGTTGATGAAAGGCCAACGGAACAGTATTCTGATATTGGTGGATTAGATAAACAGATTCAGGTACAAATAAATACTTTTATGGATTGAATCTTAATTTGTGAAGAAATAATATTTGCTGTTTAATTTATTAACATAGTATATACATTTCATGAATATATATTTTTTCCAGGAACTCATTGAAGCAGTAGTATTGCCAATGACACATAAGGAGAAATTTGTTAACCTTGGTATACATCCTCCTAAGGGAGTACTTCTCTATGGACCTCCTGGAACAGGCAAGACATTACTGGCCAGGGCTTGTGCTGCCCAAACCAAGTCTACATTCTTAAAGCTGGCTGGACCACAACTAGTTCAGATGTTTATTGGTAGGTTACCTGCATTTTCAATATAACAAAAGAAACAATTTGCTAAGCAATTTTTGCATGATGTATTTATTGTTGTTGTGTAGGTGATGGTGCCAAACTTGTTCGTGACGCGTTTGCCCTAGCTAAAGAGAAGGCACCTGCTATTATCTTTATTGATGAGTTGGATGCTATTGGTACGAAGCGTTTTGACTCAGAAAAAGCTGGTGACCGTGAGGTACAGCGTACTATGTTGGAACTGCTAAACCAGCTTGATGGATTCAGTTCAACAGCAGATATAAAGGTTAGCAAGTTGTAATATATAAAAGAACTTAAAAGATCACTCTCTTGTCTATCTTTCTATCTGTCCATGTGTCACAGCACAAATAAAGGAAAAATCCCAAAAAAAACAAAAAAAGTTGAAAATTAAAGTTAAACAGATTTCCTACAAATATGTATGGAACTTTTTATAATAATGCTTGCTGTAAGTCATTTATTGAATAGTTCTCTCATTTCTTTTATTGTGTGGTATCATACAGGTCATTGCAGCTACCAACAGAGTGGACATCTTGGATCCTGCTCTCTTGAGATCTGGCCGTCTAGACAGAAAGATTGAGTTTCCACATCCCAATGAAGAAGCTAGAGCAAGAATTATGCAAATTCATTCAAGGTAAGGGTTAATTTAATAAACATGCAAATTTATTTTTGAAATGTCCGCAAGTTGCTGCTGCTGTTGATACACATCATGTCCAACCATAATATAATGTATTTTTAAATAATACTTAATTTAAATTGACATGCATATTATATTTGCAGAAAAATGAATGTGTCACCCGATGTTAACTTTGAAGAGCTTTCACGATCTACTGACGATTTTAATGGTGCCCAATGTAAGGCTGTTTGTGTTGAAGCGGGTATGATAGCATTGCGCAGGTCTGCTACGGCAGTCACTCATGAAGATTTCATGGATGCCATACTAGAAGTGCAAGCCAAGAAAAAAGCTAATCTCAGTTATTATGCTTAGTGTATCACCAGTTTTTAAATAAGTTTTTAAGAAATATATAGTATCTTTGAAATGGCTTTTTATTATATTAGGTCCTTTAATTCCAATGCTTAAGCTACGGTCATCACGATAAAACAAAACGTTCGCAGTATAAATATCGCGAGTTATATACTCGCGATATTTATACAAAAATGTTTCCAGTATAAATATTGCGAGTATAAGTCGTATACTCGCGATATTTATACTGGAAACATTTTATTTTATCGCGATGATATAAAACAGAGTCTGGACGTATCTTATCCGAAGTCCGCGTCCGGTATAGCATTTCTATAATATAATTTATGGTATAACTATAATAATATAACAGTAATATGCGGGATAAAGGATTTATATAAAGTTTGGGAAGTTGTGGGAAACGTCATGCGATTACGAATGTCAAAAGTCAAAACTCAAGTGAACTAAAAAGGGTTACATAATTTATGAAGTGAACGACTTGGAGCCGGTCTATAGCATTTCTATAAAATTTGTGGAGCCGGTCTAAACGCGGAAACGTAATCGAAAATTTTATTTATTTTATAGTGTAACACTACGATTTAATAAAATGCATAAATCAGTAATAAACAAAATGTATCGTGAATAAAATTATTCAACAATAAAATTGTTACGAGCTTTTTCGGAGAAATGAACGTACTAACTATTATATTATCTAATTATTTAGCGTATATGCAAAATATATTAATTGCTTAATTAATAAAAATATTTTGAAAATTAATATTTTAAAGAAAATATTTTTTATTCAAATTGTTTTACGTTTGTAAATAAAAACTGAACGCATCCATCACCATACAAAATAAGTGTTGACGCGCGTGTGCTAAATTTGAAACATGAAAATATGGATCTTTCAAAATTCTACTTGATTTATTTATTATAAACACAAAATAACAAAAATTAAACTAAAAATAGAGATGTGAAATCCTTCGTGATATAAATATCTTCGTCAGCAGAACATCGACGAAGTTAAACAGGCGTTTTAATAGTAAGTAACCTATTCTTTTAAATTCGCCGAATGACAGTAATAATAAATTGTTAAATATCTAAAATACCGCATAACGATATTGATTTTTGAATGTTTAACAGTATGCGGTTTTCTCTTAATGCTTTATGCTGTGTTTTCTGCTTTTGAAATTATAGTCGTTAATTAAAAATTACTATTTAAGTGTAGTTCAAAATTGGCTGATTTAAATCTCATATTATCTATCTTTTTGTATATTTTTTTATTTATTGTGAATAATATGGCCAAAAATGAAATAAAAGCTAAAAGCTTTTAGAATATTAATTTACTTATTGTTGTTGTTATTAACAAATTTTATGTATATTTGCAATTTTGTCCTATTTGCCTACATAAAAGTCCATCATGGATCAGGAAGAGGAATTCGAGCCTCAATTTAAGCCTTCCGCCGATTTACCTAAAATACACAAAAAATGCAACCACAACCGTCCACACACCAGGTTAAAAATCAGACTCTAATTATTAATATGTATTTATATATTTTCACATAATGAAGTTCAAAATCCATGGTGTATAGCCCTATATCTTGTGTTCTAATAAAGGTAAAAGAATATGTAATGTATGAAAATCAATCTAGTATTGGATTTTAAGCTTCACTTATTTGTTCCTCAGTCTACACCAATTTTTTATTTAATCTCGCATATCACTGTGCTTAACATTGAGCTTATAAGCTCAAACTTATGTAAGAAACATAATTTATCTCACAAGTTGCTGTGTCATTTAAAAGCTAAAATGATAAACTATTAAAATCAATTTTCTTTTCATAGTCCATTTCACAATCTCATGTTGCATGCATTAGTTTAAAGCTATAAAAGATTCATTAATATTCTATCAACTAAAGTTTAAACTCTGTATTAGTAATAGAACTTTTGGTATAAATAATTTGATTTCAAGCTGATGAGATAAATAAATAAATATGTTGGGACATTAACACACAGCACCATCTAGTTCCATGGTAAGCTATGAGGCTTGTGTTATGGATACTAGATAGTTGATATAATATACATATATAAATTTAAATACATTTATAAATATAAAGACCCATGACTGGAGTACAAACATTTGTGCACATAACACAAATGAATGTCCCCAGTGTCGAACTAGCAACTGCTGGCCAGGAAGTACAGTCACTACAAACTGAGCCAAATGTGTTGTATATATATATATATATATATATATATATATATATATATATATATATATATACTTATACTTATACTTATATAATAAAAACATACAGTATTTATAAATTACATTTAATTACATACTTCATTTATAAAATTAAATGCCTGTTTAATTTTTTTTCTTTCTTTATAAACTATATAAACATATTTGATACTTCATTTTTATATCATTTAAAACAACAGTAGTCTATAATTGGCTTGAGGAAGGCTGGGTGTTATCATGTAAGACTGTATAAAGCTGATTATGTGCGAACATGCACCATTAATTTAATCAACCCTTTATATATTGTATTATGGTAACTGACATCTTTATCTAATATCCACAGTAATCCCATAACAGCCTTAAAACATAAAAAATATTGTACATTTGTAAAATATTGTGTTAAATAAAACATAAATTAATTATTTAAATGCAGCTCCAACTACGTTTATATACTTTTACCTGCATTGCCCGCGGTTCCGCCCGCGTTCGGATGACCAAGAACCAAATTCTTAGGTTTTACATATTGGTATACTCTTACAGTGCAGTTTTTGTATTTTTTCTCAGAATGAGATATTTTCCCGCGGTAAAAAGTATCCTATATGTTGACCCGGATAACCAGCTATCACCATACCACATTTCATCAAAATCCCTTCAGTGGTTTTTCCGTGATGCGATAACAGACAGACAGAGAGACAAAACTTCTAAAAACTATAGATTCGGCCTCTTTATCGATAATGATGATGTTCTCCTAGCCGATTCCGGCCACGGCGGCCAATCTCATTGAGATTAGCCAACTGCGCAGGAGATATTATAGTGCTCAAGTGTACGCGCAAACACAAGTGCACTCTCTATTCCTATCACTCTCATACTCCGGTGGGACGACCACTCGACACGACCGGTGAGAGTTAAGGCAATGTCTATTTTAATAAGATTTTCCAAAAAATATTTAATGTACAGATTCGGCTTAGATACAATTTTATTATATGTATAAATTACAAAAGTATGTCTTATTCCAAAATATATACTCTCCTATAGCTATTACATAATATTATGTACTTAAGACCACATCAAATGATAAAAAGTTTTTAAAGTACCTAGCTTTTAAAAAAACTGCATTGAGATCTTTCAAAATATAGCAGTAACTACAATTTATTACACCCCTGTCACGCCCCTATTAGTGTAGGATATACCTTTGGTTTTATATTCATGTACTTAGGCCATTTTTAACATCCTTTTGCCTACACAGGCTTGACCATTCGAGGGGTATCCAAGGTTTACAAGGCTTGCCAAGTGTAGGCTGGCGGACTTCACATGTCTTTTTTTTAAATATATAAGGTTCTTTAGACATGTAAATTTTCTCACGATATTTTCCTTCACCGTAAGGGAAGTGGTAATTATGTTGAAGATGATTCGCACTTGTTTTTCTACAAAAGGACTGTCATTGCCGCTATAACACCTCCAGGTAAATTTATAATAAATCTATTGTTAACTGTAACGCCGGCGTGTCCGCGGTCGTTGAGGGATCAATAAACATTTTCATTTTTGTCAAAACAATTTTCAACACATTGACAAAAGTCCTTAGAGATACGAATGCTTAATTAAGTCATTCAAAACCACCGACGCGTTATTTTTAACTCGTCTCGCCGTCAACAGGTAGAGGCAACTTTAGTCGGTCGCTTATGTTTTTTTGGACGAGCCGTAGAGTAATTTTGATTGGTTTAGAACATTTAAATATTAAATAAGTATATAATAATATAAATTATAATATATCCGAAATGGATAAAAAAAAGAAGAAAATAATATATCCGAAAGTGTGTTTAAAGTGATTGTTTCAAAACTGCACTACTTTAAGAGCAATCTTTTATTATAAACTAGCGACTCACCCTCGCTTGCTCGTGTTCGTCCCTAGCTTGCTTCCCTATACAATCTTTCATCCCCATTTTCACCCTTAAGGGATGATTTCCGGGATGAAAAATATCCTTTCCAGGGTCTCAAACTACCTTCTTACCAAATTTCATCTAAATCGGTTCAGTAGATTCAGATATTACCCCCCTACAACTTCACAAACTCACAAACTTTACCTCTTTATAATATTAGTATAGACTAGAGACTCACCTTCGCTTCCTCTCTAGATACGTTTTAAATAGATACAAAAATAGTTATACCTCGTCAATGTACTTTAGTTACCTGTTGTACAAACGTGCGGACTTTTCTGTGTGCCTTTTTAAGACCCACAATTTTTAGTATATTGTTTTGATCTATCACTTATGATTCAGCCAGCGTTAGCTATGTTAGCATACAAAAACACTTTTATTTTTGAATAAACACCATCCAAGTTCAGCCGTTTTGTACAAAATATTTACAAATTATCCCTTATCTTTAATAAAAACATTCAATACCGTTGCAAGATTTAGATGTAAGTCGAGAAACAGACAAACACACAATGATTTTGTTTTGTACAATATATATAGGTTTTGCATTTTCCTATGCAAATGAGAGATTTTACCGCACTAACATGAAAAATATGTTAATTATAACCATTTGTTATTAACTTATTACCCTAAAAGTTTTTGTGTAATAAATCATAGACATTTTTGTATGAAGGACAACTCGGCAGTTTTGCATGTAGGTCGACTCGGCCGACAACCGACAAACTCCAGTGGAAATGAGATATTTTCCGGCAGTAAAAGATAATATCCTTAACGTTGACCCGAGTAATAAAGTTTATTACTACACAAAATTTAGTTAAAATCCGTTCCGTACTTACTGGGTGAAAAGCAATCAGATAATTGACGACACGTTTGGCTCAGTTTCTACAAACACTTTCTGTGCCAGTGGTCGCGGGTTCGAGTCCCGCTGGGGGCATTCTTTTGTGTGATGAGCACGAATGTTTGTACTCCAGTCATGAGTGTTTATATTTATAATATTTATGTATTTAAAATTATATGTGTGTAGTGTATCAACTAGTATCTGGTATCCATAACACAGGCCTCGTAGCTTACCTTGGAACTAGATGGTGTTGTGTGTTAATGTCCCAACATATTTATTTATTTATTTTATTTTTATATACAGACAAAATTCAAAAAGGATTTCTTTGCACAGTATATTCTATTTGAAGAGTGGTCCCTGATAAGTAAAAAATCCATGTTAGCGAGCGTGAAATACCATCGTTCTTAACGTCTGTTCTAATTTCCAACTCGATTAAGAGATAGCACCGTAACCGCTTTCTTAGACTAATTGTAGATTAACATGGCATAAGATATTCACTAATACACTAAATAACACCTTCTGGGTGTTTCGAAGTTAATTTTATCGCTTTTGGCGAATTTAGCTGCAAAGTAAGGTTTAAATTGTACACGCCATTGCCATTATATTTACCCAAAAATTATTTAGAAAGCATATTATATTCAGTAAGTAAATGAAATAGTAATTTATTTATTTATTTAAGACTAGCATTGCCCGCGGCTCCGCCCGCGTTTAGATCGCCAAAAACCAAATTCTTAGGTTTTACATTTCAGTATGAGTTTACATTCCAGTTTTTGTATTTTTTCTCAGAAATGAGATATTTTCCCGCGGTAAAAAGTATCCTATATGTTGACCTGGATAACCACCTATAACCATACCAAATTTCATCAAAATCCCTCCAGTAATTTTTCTGTGACACGGTAACAGACAGACAGACAAAAATTCTAAAAACTATAGATTTGGCCTCTGTATCGATAATAATGTCTATTTCAATAAGATTTTCCAAATAATATTTAATGTACATATTCGACTTATTTATGTATAGACTGCAATAGTTTAACCTGGCTATTTAAAATGCAAGTAGGTTGCTACAATCTGACTAAGAAAAGAAAAAACGTCGACGTTAAAATAACGTTGGATTAAGTAAAAAGTTAATATATCCTAGATGCTTAACAAATATCAGTTACCTGATGTAATGTAGCTAAAACAATTGACTTTAAAATTAAAATACTTAATTGAGAGCTCTACGAGTACCATTGGAGTAACATGCTTTTCATTTAATTTTAAATTGAACTGTTCTATGTATTCCGGCCTTTTTTAACGTCCCACTGCTGGGCACGGGCCTTCCTTCAATCGGGGAGGAGAATCAGGCCATAGTCCACCACGCTGACCTAGTCCGGGTTGGCGGACTTCACATATCTTTCGTAAACTTGCTAGGTTCTCTCAGACATGCAGGTTTCCTCACGATGTTTTCATTCACAGTAAGACAAGTGGTAATCATGTTGGAAATTATTCGTACATGATAATATCAAAGGTGAGAGACCCGGGATTTGAACCCGCGTTACTCGGTTTCCAAGCGAACACGTCACCACTGCGCTACCACTACCTTATACTGTTCTATAGAACATTTTAATTCGCGAAAAGCTTATAAGCTGATTGTAAGATCACCGAAGGCTTTGTCGATAAGAGTGTATTATAATGTACTTACTACTTACACTGTCTATCATTGGCTTTAGCAGATAATTCTACAAGTTAAAAGCTATAAATTAAATTATGTATTTTTTTTATAAAAGCAACGTCAAAATACACTTGCACCAACATTTTTTTAATTGTAGGTGATTTTTTTTTAGATTCTTTATGTGTAATTTTTTATAAATATATATAAGACTAGCATTGCCCGCGGCTCCGTCCGCGTTCAGATGACCAATAACCAAATTCTTAGATTTTACATATTAGTACACTCTTACATTACAGTTTTTGTATTTTTTCTCAGAAATGAGATATTTTTCCGCGGTAAAAAGTATCCTATATGTTGACCCAGATAATCAGCTATGACCATACCAAATTTCATCAAAATCCGTCTAGTAGTTTTTCTGTGATGCGGTAACAGACAGACAGACAAAAATTCTAAAAACTATAGATTCGGCCTCTGTATCGATAATAATGTCTATTTATAATCAATAAGATTTTCCAAAAAATATTAAATGTACAGATTCGGCTTAGTTACAATTTTATTATATGTATAGACTAATGAGGTTAGTCTAATAATTCATGGTTTAGACTTGAGTTTGATAGCATTTTATATTTCGACGGTCAACGGTAAAGCACGTTTATGAAGTCAAATAAAGTTAGTACCGAGTACCGACTTCCGAGATAGCAATATCGCAGTCACCTGCCGGCAGCGGCGCGTGACGGTACCCTAGCGACGCCGTGACGCCGTCTCGGCCAGTGAAACCGTACACGTAACGTGTTGTGCCCTGTTTGTTTACTGTGCATCGGGAAAGTGAAAATGGGAAAAGTTTTTGCGTAAGGAGTCCTTTCATCGTGTTTTTTTTAATATGGCATTTTGTCATTGTGCTAGTGTTTTTTTTCATTGTGCTAAGATTTTTTATGTATGTATGTATATTATTCAAGAATCTTAAATGTTGTCATTTTTATATTTATAATTGAGGAAAATATTTGTGATATATTAGATAATGTGGAAGATTGTAAATCGGTATAATTATTTAAAATAGCAGTCGATTAACACGTTCGATTTTCTCGTCACTTTGTAAACTTTAATGGAAATTTAATTGAGTTCGCACAATATAAAGGTCATGTGAATATTACTTTTAGAGTTAATCTCGATCTTGGAGGTGACTCTCTCATTCATAGCAGTTGTTTTATTGCACTGGTTTGATAGAATGACTTTTAACGCAAAAATACTTTTTTAAATAGATTTGATAGTTTCATACATTAGCTCCTTCCAACAAACAAACAAACAAACAAACAAACAAACAAACAAACAAACAAACAAACAAACAAACAAACAAACAAACATAGCTTTATGTAGTATAGATATATCAAAAAATAATTGCTTTAAAAGTCATTATGACCTATTGATTAAATTTCTAGGAATACGCAACCACTAACCACCACCCTTTAAATGTAACTGTCCTCTATCATGAACACGTCGAATCCTACTAATATTATAAATGTGAAGGTTTGTGAGGATGTATGGATGTCTGGATGTTTATATGTATGGATGTTGTTACTCTTTCGCGCAAAAACTGCTGAATGGATTTTAATGAAACTTTGCAGTAATATAACTGATAGCTCATACATCAGAATAACACATAGACTACTTTTTATCCCGGTAAAATTTACGGTTCCCGTGGGATAGATTTTTTTTGTTATTCTAGATATTCAAGATTTCAAACTTAATTCTTAGAAATTTAATTAATTTCTTAGAAATTTACCTCGAGGTATTAAGCCTAATCATTAATAATTCCTTTCCATGAAACATTTTGAAAATAACTAATTTGAATAGTAAACATTTATGGAAAATACATTTAACCCTCACGTTACTATAGTCCCAACCCTCCACGATAATCTGTTCGTGCGAACCACAATAAGTTTCCTTACATGATTTCAAAACATGGGTACATTCATAAACAACTTCGAAAGCCGAGTACATAATAAATGCAGTTTTTTTTCTACTTTCACTATATTGAAACAGTTTATTAACTTACCTTACTCGTCCGGTTTTATGTCGTAAAGTTTATTTCTTGCGATCAGTAAAGTAGAAGGGAAGATCTAATTGTCGCATTTGCGATTTTCTACTGACAACATTACGTATTTTATACACATTTTAGTCGTTGAAATCCAAATGTATTAGCATATTGCTTGCTAATTTGCTTTACATTACATGCTATGATTATGAAATATTCTTCACAAATGTTGAAAATTTTGTAAGATTTGATAATTTAGATGTACTTAAAATTTAATATTTGTTAAGCATCTCATCATTCTAGTTACATATAATTGTTATTTGATACCATATTTATGCGTTAGGACTAAAGATACTTCAATATATCTTAATAAACTAAAAAGTTGATGTTTTAAGTTTGTAATGTTACTATAGTGCTGTTTTCAGTGTTGTAAACTATTTGATACATTTTATTTTTTTTGAGCGGAACCCGAATTATTTTTTAAAATAAAAATAGCCTATGTTACTCCCTATAACATCAGCTATCTTCCAGTAAAAATCCCGTCTAAACCAGTCCAGCCGTTTTAGAGATTATCCGGAACAAACAGACACACAGACAAAATTTTTAAAATTTGCGTTTTTTCTTATAAGTACCGTATACAGTTTCATAGGCATTTAGTAAAACGCTGTTATTTTGACATTACAAACAGACACTTCAATTTTATTTATCTGTGTAGAAAAGAAGATCAAGAATGTTAAGTAGGTTTAATTTCATTTAAGTCGAGTCATACGCTAAAACTCGTAAGTAGTCGGAATAAAATTGTTAATATTAACAACTAAGCCAAAAAATAACGGGATCGAATGTGAGCTGTAAATTTTAGCAGTGGATAGTTATAAAGAAGTTGGCTTTGGATAGAATGCACCATTTAGAATAACCCTATAAAGCACACTCAAAGTATAGTAAATATAATTCATGCATCTTATTACACATTTCTAAAAATATCTAGGTTGATCCCCCATACAAACTTTCATCCCCATTTTCACCCCCTTAAGGGATGATTTCCGGGATAAAAAGTATCCTATATCCTTCCCAGGGTCTCTAAACTTACCAAATTTCATATAAATCGGTTCAATAGATCCAGAGATTATCCCCTACAACGTCACAAACTCACTAACTTAACCTCTTTATAATATTAGTAGGTATAGTAGGTAATATAGATTATGGTGCGAGTGGCATATTCTTAGTTTAATTGAAATGTTTTAAATATGTTTAGTTAACGTCTTTTGATGCGAGTGACCAATTTTGCTACAAATATTTAGCGTATAGCCTAAAATAAATGACATCTCAACAGGAAACGAATTCTAAATGCGAATGCTCGTAAAATGAATCAGCTGATACATTTTACGAGATTGGTATGTATGTATGTATATATTCCTTTGCGGCGTGACTGTACGGTGTATTGCCTTGTACGGTCTTTCGGCTTGCAACAATATTGGATCTTGCATACCTGATTCAGCACGCCATTTGAACAACCTATTTTATGTATGGAAGACACGGTTTGAGTGACACGTAAAGAGTAAAATATAAGAGATACGATTTTGTGTTTCATTGCCATGGTAACGATGTAAATATGATATTTGATGAGTACTAATAATGTCCGTCTGTCTAAGGCAATTTTCTTTGAATCGGCATAATTCAAAATATATAAAGAAGTGTTATTAGGATGTTTTGTTATGCAGGTACATATAGGTGTAGGGTAAATCTATACTAATATTATAAAAGTGAAAGTTTGTGAGTATGGATGTACGGATGTATGTTTGTTACTCTTTCACGCTAGAACGGCTGAACGGATCTGAATGAAATTCGGGACAGAGATAGATTATAGCCTGGAATAACATATAGGCTACTTTTTATCCGGGAAAAATGTACGGTTACCGTGGGATAGGTATGTTTTTGTCTTCCTAGTATGGAATAAATATTTTATTATTCATACGTACTAAACGTAAGAACTATTTGTGTAGTTTCGTTGTGACGGTGGGTAGTATGTTAGGGTTGGACCCTTCACACTTTAATCAATACATCGCCACGATCGTTACAAAGGATACCATTTGGCTTGCAAAAAAATTCTCATTCACTGATCACGTCGAAAAGTCGATTTTCTGTCTTTTTGTTATCTATACATATAATAAAATTGTAACTAAGCCGAATCTGTACATATTTTTTGGAAAATCTTAATGAAATAAACAATATTATCGATACAGAGACCGAATCTATAGTTTTTAGAATTTTTTGTCTGTCTGTTACCGCATCACAGAAAAACCACTGGAGGGATTTTGATGAAATTTGGTGTGGTGATAGCTGGTTATCCCGGTCAACATAAAGGATACTTTTTACCGCGGGAAAATGTATTAATTTCTGAGAAAAAATACAAAAACTGCAATGTGAGAGTATACTAATATGTTAAACCTAAGAATTTGGTTTTTGGTTATCTGAACGCGGGCGGAGCCGCGGGCAGTGCTAGTAATTTATAAGTATAAAATGTATTGATTGACTTAATAAATTGTTATTTAGCTGAGTGACTGAAATATCAGAGTGACACTGGGAGTTTAATATTTCACATCTCATTTTTGGGTTAAGCAGTTTGCAAAGAAGAAATAAAATTAATATAGAGTAACACACATCGCTAAAAAGCTTTACGGGTGTACATACCGAGACAAAAATCGTTTGTTACTCTCTGGCCCCACAAATCATACGTTGAAGTGTCTTCAAAATATAAAAATCGCGATAATTTACCGTAATTATCGCTCCGGTGCTGAATTTAAAATTAGGAATTTAAATTAAGCATAAATATAGTAATTCTAGCATTTATAATACATACTAGCAAGTAGGTATTATTCGCATTTTTAAAAACTTAATTTAATAAAAATAATAGGTGAATGGGACTTTCGCAAGTCAATGTTTATACAGTTCACATATTCTATTTGCAAATTGTTAAAACCATCTATTCAGTCTATTATGGCGTGTGGTTCTCGTCACAGTCGACCGCTTGTAGCGGCAAAGTTAACCGATTAACCCAATTTAAACCCTTTCGAATATAATATATTGTTAAATTATTCTTTTTTTTTTTGCAACACGTACTGTTAATATAGTGCTATTACACATGATAGAAGTTATGAGTTTACTTTTTAAGATCAGGTTTTGGTGTTCTAAATTTCGCGTAATAGCCAGTTTCTGAATAATTTTAAATTTCGTGAAATAGCCAGTTAACTGCCTCGGTGGTGTAGCGGCTAGCATGTACGGCTGCACACCCGGAAGTCCTGGGTTCGAGTCCTGGGTCGGGTCAAGTTTAGTTATTGAGTCTTTCTGTATAGTAAGTCTCAGTAACAGCCCGGAGTTAGGAAGTTGGCGGTGTTTCACCCCGTGCCTCGGAGAGCAGGTAACGCCGTCGGTCCTGCGCCTTAACTCTCGAGTCGTCGAGTGTCGAGTGGTCGTCCCACCGGAGTATGAGAGTGACAGGAATAGAGAGTGCATGTTGTGTCTGCGCGTACACTTGTGCACTATAATATCTCCTGCGCAGTTGGCTACTCTCAATGAGATTGGCCGCCGTAGCCGGAATCGGTTAGGAGAACATCGTGAATAGCCAGTTTGATTCGTCCAAAACATTTTTATCACTTACAGAAGAAACCTGCAATTTTGAGAGAAGCTTGTTATCAAAAAATATGTGAAATCAGTCAATTAGCACTTAGCCATATTATTAAAAAAAATCATTTCCACTTGACTGATAAAAGTTTGCAGGTGTACTAGCTACTTGTGTTGGTACTAGGTAATAGGATAAGG